CAAAGCAGAATTTTTGCTCACAAAACTCCACAGCTTAGAAGGGAACATTGGTCTGCGCTCCTAACCACTACACCAGACTGGCCGCTCTATGGCACCCCTGTGACTTGGAGATGTACCAGAGCATGATATCTCCCACTTGCTCCCTCGTGCAGGAGAACTTGCCACCAGATTGGACTCTTAAGGCATTGTTGCTATTCTAAGTGGTTGTTAGAGGGGCCCCGGTCAGAAGTGAGAATTCCTTGTCTCAGGCATTGTGCAAACACAGGGTGAGTGGAATCCTTGGCACGGAAACCTCCCCCATTGAGAGGGAGCTTTGACTTGTGTTTGCACAGTCGTGTGAGAAACTTTGCGAGGCTGTTTGTTTCCCATCAGTCCTCTGAACTTGAAGTGAAGAAATAATTTGTGGACGTAAATCTGGAAAGAGAGATCCTGTCCTTTCTTTCTTTGCTTGCCGTCTGTTCCGCTGATTTATGGCCCTTTTCCACACTGTCCCGGGGACTTAGCTGTTGCGGGCATCTCTGTATTTACTCTCACATGTTCCAAGCCTTTCGTCTCGACACCCAAAGTTACTTTAAAACAAAGGTGGTGCTATAGAAATGTTGCTTATTCCCCCCCCCCCCCTGTACCTTGATAAGGGTAGGGAAGCGACTCTGCTAGAAACTATTTCCAAGGCAAAGACATGAAGATTTCTTTTACTTAATATAGTTTCAGAGGACAGCCACAGTGGAACAGCTAGGTTCAAATCCAGGACCACCTTTGAGACCCAAGAAGTTTTTCAGGGTATGAGCTTTTGCGAGTCAAAGCTCCCTCGGTCAGATACAGTCAGAGTGGAGATCTCTGAGTCCTTATACCCCAGTCAGAAGGTGAGAGAGGTTTTGCAAAGAAAGGAGCTCACTTAGTACAGAGGCACAGAAATGGCATTCAGAAGTATTAAAATCGGGGGACGCTTTCCCCTTTCTCCCACGACATTCTGCCTTAAACTTCCAGGACTTCTGTGGAACCCCATTAAAGGTAAAGGTAAAGGTTCCCTTGCTCGAAAGCCAGTCGAACCCGACTCTAGGGTTGCAGTGCTCATCTCCGTTTCAAAGCCGAAGAGCCAGCGCTGTCCGAAGACGTTTCCGTGGTCATGTGGCCGGCATGACTAAACACCAAGGCGCACGGAACCCCCTTAGAGTTCCATTAATTTTCCTATAATGCAAGATTAAGGGTTTCTGTTTGTGGCACGGAAAGGGAGGAAAGTGCTTTAGCGTGGTGAGAGGAGGGATATTCACAGTATCTGAGGGGACTATATGAGGCAAAGAAGAGGGTGGTTTCCAGGGAAGAGAAGATTATATTCTTCTAAGAACAAACAGCTTCAACAGGGGATTGGAGAAACATATGGAGCAGAGGTCCATCAGTGGCTATTAGCCACAAGGTACAGATGGAACACTCTGTCTGGGGCAGGGATGCTCTGTATTCTTGGTGCTTGGGGGGGCAACAGTGGGGCGGCTTCTGGAGTTCTGGCCCCACTGCTGGACCTCCTGATGGCACCCAGGTTTTGGCCACTGTGTGACAGAGAGAATTGGACTGGATGGGCCACTGGCCTGATCCAACCTGGCTTCTCTTGTGTTCTTAAGAGTCAGTCTGCATGGGAAGGGTCAAGCACTTTCTCCTGTAAATCTCCCTGCACCTGCATTCCTGTAATTTTAACAAAGATCATTTTGGCAACATGTTTGCTAAGGTAACATGCAGTTCTGCCCAAAGTGAGACTGATTCCAGAATGTATAATGCATCATGCAAAATGTATCGTGCTGTGTTATGATTTAGATTTTTAAATTTTATTTTAAAAATAACCAGAAGTTTTGTGACACCTTTAAGACAAAAAGGTTTTATCGTAACGTGCCCTTTCATTGACTAGTGTTCACTTTCTTAAATGCATGCAGTGAGGTCCTCATTAGGTGGTCATACATATACGAGATTATGGAGACAAACAGTTTTAAACAGCCTGGTCCCAAATGTCTATGAATAGTGGTTCCCTAAAATGCCAATGTAGTTAAGGAAATTAAGTCATTCCTAACAACAATAGTTATTGGTAGCCCAACAAAGTTTGAGCCAGTTTGGTGTCGTGGTGAAGTGTGCGGACTCTAATCTGGGAGAACCGGGTTTGATTCCCCACTCCTCCACTTGCACCTGGCTGGATGGCCTTGGGCAAGCCTTAGTTCTGATAAGAGCTGTCCTTGAAAAAGAGCAGCTTCTGTCAGAGCTTTCTCAGCCCCACCTACCTCACAGGGGGTCTGTTGTGGGGAGAGGAAGGGAAAGGAGTTTGTAAGCCGCTCTGAGACTCCTTTGGGTAGTGAAGGGCGGGGTATAAATCCAATCTCTTCTCTTCTTCTTCTTCTTGAGTCCAGTGGCACCTTTTATGAAAGTTTATACTCCAAATTAAACTTTGTTGGTCTTCAAGGTGCCACTGGACTCAAACTCTGTTCTGTTGCTTCTGACCAACACAGGTGCCCCACCTGACTCTATTGGTAACGCATTCCTTGTACTTTTGCTAAGCTGGTGAACAACCTATAATGGTTAAAGAATCAGAAGTACTTGTCAAATCATTGAGCGATAACGTCAGACATCTCGCTAAACTATATTGAATCTATGCTGGACTCTCCCTCTGAAGGTTTTCATTTTTGTTTTCTGCTGGAGAACGGTAGCTTTTATATCACCTACAGATCAGAAGCTTGAAATGTTTTTCCACTAGTTTCTGAATATTGTCATTTTGAGGTCAGATTTATTTACTTCATGTATGCCCCGCCTTTCTCTCCAACTGGGACCCAGATCAGTTTACACCATTCTCTTCTCAGCCCCGTAGTTTTGGGGGAGGGGGCCTGGGGGGCCCACCAGCCAATTAAATCAAAATTAATTATATTAACTTTGATTTAATTGGTGGAACTCCTAAGGCAGCCCTGCACACGCGCCCAGGCTCCAGGGTAATGCCCAGTGGCCGCAGCTCCCCTCCCCACCCCACTGCAAGGGCAGATCAGTCCCCTGTAACTCAAGTAGCCCTACTAACAAGAGAACCGGCGCTGAAATGGGTGACCCATTACGTAGCCCGCGGTGCTGTGGAGAAACCCAGGGGGCAAGGATTCCAACCCCTCGGCTCCCTGCTTGGCTCTCCGGCACCAGCCGTCAGCCTCGTCCTCCCACAGTTCCTCCCGGGGCCTTCCCGACAGCCGCACCCGCTTCTAGGCACTCTTCCCCTGGGGCGGGCAGCCTCACGGGCTGGCTGGCTCTCCGTCCTTCCCTCCCTCGCTCGGTGGGTCATCGCCTCCTCCTCGGACCGGCTGCGGGGTTCTCCAGAGCATGGGCGGGGTGGCAAGCAGCGGAGCGCCCTTAAGATGAGGAGCCGCTTTGGGGAGCTGCAGGACGAGCCTCGCTCTGCGGAGTAGCGAAGATGCGCCGGGGAAAGTGGGCTCCGGCACCAGGAATGCGGGAGGCAGGCACCCAGGAGCAGCGGCAGGCAGTGCGGAGTCACCGTCTACTGGGCTGAGGGCAGAAATAGGGGGGAGGAGCTGGGGATTGGGGAGGGGCCCGTAAAAACTGTGGGGGGCTGGACCCCATGGGCCTCATGGTAGCTATGGGCCTGCTTCTCCTCCATTTTATCCTCATAACAACCCTGTGAGGTTTGGTTTGAGCAGCTGTCTGTAACCAAAGGAAGATTGACAACCAAGGACTAAGGAAAGAGAGAGAAGGGCCATTGTCCAGGAGGGTTTTAAATAATTAATGATAATCTGGACAGGACTGAGCTGGTGGTTGTGGGTGACGATGAGTGGTCTGCGATTTCTTGTAGATCTGTCTTGTAGTAGGCTATGTCTGAGTACCAGCCTGGCCTTGTCAGTCTGTTTTGTCACCTTGTTAAGTGTTCGTTGTAATCCTGAGAATACCTGATCTACAATGTCTAGGTGTGACCAGTGTTCCCTCTAAGCTGAGTTAGTGTGAGCCAGCTCACACAGTTTCTTAACCTCCGGCTCACACATTGTTTGTCTCGGCTCAGGAAGGAGGGCTCCAGAGCAAACTAATTTATGCAGTCGCCAAATTGCTCGCTCTCAGCTTCAATGCCAGCAGCTCACAAAGGAGAATTTTTGCTCACGAGACTCCACAGCTGAGAGGGAGCCTTGGGTGTGACTCCTGGAAATGGAGCAGACGCCATTGTAACCTAGTGCTGGATAGAGCCAATGGATTGCGTGTTGTGCTCAGGGTGGCAGCTGGAAGTATTTCGATATGTGTGGTTTTCAGTGGTCGTGATGACCCCGGCTAGCCCCATCTCAGAAGCTAAGCAGAATCGGCCCTGGTTAGTGGTTGGATGGGAGACACCCAAGGCTGCCATTCAGAGGTAGGCAGTGGCAACCCCCCCCCCCCCCCCCCCCTGGACATCTCTTCCCTTGAAAACCATACAGGGTCTCCATAAATTAGCTGTGACTTGACTGCACTTTCCACCACCATAATGGTATCAAAAAAACAGGACTGTTGTATGGACTGGTCAGGGCTCAGGCGGCCAGTAAAGTTAAAGATGTTGACGTCTTGGTGGGACCTCTTGAGGGTTTCCTTACCCTGGGCCAGGATGATGAAACTGTCATAGATGAAGCCACACCACAGACAGCCAACAGTTACATGAAGCATGTTCTCCAAAGCAATGTTTTCCAAATGTTCTACTTTCAGGGAAACCTTTCACTTTGACCTGTCAGATGAGAGAAACCCTTTGTGTTCTGAAGGATGTTCCACCCTTGTGCGGAGTCACTCTCCCCTGCAGTCTGGAGTAGTAGGCAGGCTGTCTTTCAGGGATATTTGTCCCGCGTGGCTGTTCAGGAATCCCCGATTGGCTTCTGGAGACTCCCAGGGCACTCAGGAACACACTTTGAAAACTAGTACATTAAAGGTTTCAATGTTGTTGGTATTTGTGGGTTTTTTAAAAAAAATCCTGAACTATTTCCTTCCCCATAAGTTAACGCTTTTGTGGCTTTTTATTTCAGGATTCGGAATCCCTTGATACTTATATCCAGAATACTCTCTCGTCTCTCTACCCACCTTTTGAAGCCACGGCTGCTACTGTTCTCTGGCAGCTTTTCAGCATTGTTGAAAAGTTCTACCGTGGAGACGGTCTCAGATGTCTAATTGATTTTCTTGTCCCTGCCAAGAGAGTCTTGCAGTGCATCCAGCAGGAAACCTGTGTGAGTATATTCCTACCTTCGCTGCTAGAACAGAGACTTCCTTTGTTCACGGTTTAAGATTTTTAAAAAAAAGATGTCGAGTTTAATCTTTTTACCTCTAAGCTTTCTGAATCTAGCTAATGAAAGCATTAGATAACCATGGGAAAGTGTGCGTTCTAATAAGAAAGGGAAGCATCGCCGAGAGAGGAAAAACATACAACTTCCTTTACATTCTGTTGGGAATACGATCTGAGCCGTCTTACCCCTAACCTGGAGCACAACTGGAAGCCACAAAGCTGGTCATGATGCATTTGGGAAATGTTGCGGGGGGGGGGATACTTTTGTTTCCCCCCACTTTTTTTTTTTTAATTTTTGCCAGGCAGAGAAGTGACAGAGAGCCCAAAAGAGTGGTTCTTAATGACAGGAGAAATTTTTCCTTTGTGTAAGCATTAGAACTGTATTTGGATTAGGTGCTGAAAATTGTAACTCAGTAATGCCATTACTAGGGCGTCACCTTTTCGCGTGCTTCTTCGGATGTTAAAAGCAAGAGGCGAAAGCCAGAAGTAATCAAAGTAATCTGTTTGTAATCGATCTTCTGCGGCTTTTATTTTTAAAGGGGCAGTTCCCAATGTTTGTTTGTTTATTTATTTATTAGTTATATTTATATCCCACCCTCTCCACGGGCGGGCTCAGGGCAGCTCACATTTGCCGGCGTAATATAGCCGGTTAGCATAAAACATTTAAAACCCGTTAAAACAATCATACAATATTACTTAAAGTGCTCACCTTGGTCGTCCATCAATGGGTTAAGGTAGCGTACTATGAGATGACATACTAAGATCCCGACTTAGTAGTATTCCGGTCTCCCACGACAGGGCCAGCCCCCACCAGAGATGTTATTGATAGTAATAGTTGGCGTTGCACATGGTGCGCAGAGAAGCAAGGGGTCGTGCCGAATGCTGCCGATCTTTGTAGCGGAGGGATAAGAGGCTGTCCCTTATTGAGGCCGTGTATGGGAATATGAGAAGAATTAAAAATTCGCTCACAGACTTCTTTTTCCACTTATTTAAATGTCAGAATTACATCAGTTTACTATCTTCCTTAAACATGACCCCATTTGGCCAGCATAGACTACTGATGGATGTTCTAGGCAGAATAATATCTGCGTATGAAACATCTACTGAAATGCTCAGAGCCTTGGTCAAAGCAAGTGCTTTATTGGGTGCGATGGTTGTGCCGCAAGGGGAGATGAAAAGGCGCAGGAGGAGCACGAGGGCATCTTGCTAGTGTCATTCACGGGCTACCAGGGTTGCCAGGCCTCCCACGATGGCTGCAGATTTCCCAGCAAACCCAGCCAACTGCCCACTGGCACCTGAAATGCCAGTGGGAGGGAAATGGGGGAAAGGAGGGCATGCTGATGTCACTTCCTGCAGAAGCCGGAAGTGATGTTACAGCCTCATGGGGCGTTTTAGGATTCGCCAGAGCTCTTGCAAATCCTAAAGCCTTTTCCCAACGGCATAGTATCATTTGTGCTTTTTGTTAGAAATGTATTTGTTTCAGTTTATATTCTGCCCTCCCCACAAGCAGGCTCAGGATGGATCACAGAGCAGAATCTAAAATATTCTGGCTGCGGTCATATGCACAATTAGACCTGCCATAGGTGCAAATGCCGGGCAGATTTAAAGGTCGCGATCAGACAACAACATCTGGAAAGCGCCCCGCAGCCGTCAGCAACCCGTTCTGCTCCGCTGCAGAAGTGGAGTTAAAAGACACCGGGGGAAATCTGGCAGAAAACGGGTTGCGATGGGGCCATGGATGGACTTTCCCGTGTCTGATCGCTCCAGCGCGCTCTCAGGGCATCAGGATGGTCTGATCTGGGATGTTGGGAAGATGCTCTTGGTATTTGGGCAAAAACTCTATGGTAGAAGCCAAATTTGCCATAGAGTTTTTGCCGAAAAACTAGAGCATCACCCCGAAGTCCCGGACATGATGACGTCACTTCCGGGTCACTTGGGCAATGACGTAGACACAGCGCTGTACATTGGATGGGTTTCGATGCTGCTCCTGGAAAGTTCCTCCTCCCCCTGCCAACCCTAAGAAAGGGGGACTTGCCCAAAGAGGAGAGTGTGGGCTCTACCATTCACTTGCAGGCACACCTTAACAAGAAACTTTAAATAAACGCGGAGATGCTCAGAAGTCCACATTCTGCCCTCGGTGCTGCATGCCTTGCTTTTTCTGTCCCTCCCTGGGACTGTTGATGCACCCTCAGCCCCAAGTGTGGGAGAACCGCACTTGATATTTAACACTGCAGTTCTCTTCTAATGGAGTCAGCAACAAAATACTTAGTTCCGCTGGCGAATAAACAAATCCGGCTACGAGTTTCAGCGTGCATGTTCCACGCCATCCAGGCTTTCAGAATTAATGCCGGCCTGTGAGTAGCTGGAAGTGTGGGCTTTGTCCAAGACTGCTAATACAATACAAAATCAAGGAAGTGTCGATCAGGAGTAGGCTGGGAGCTTCTCATATTGCAAAAATAAAGAGAGGCTATTAACAGGAGGTTGTTCAAGCAATTAGAGGTCTGTACACATTTTAGTGTCAAAATATTATTTGATCACTTGGATCTCCTTCTCTATAGGAACACACAACCTTATTTTAAGGCTTTGAGTAAGTTTCCTCCGCCGTTGAGGACAGTCAGTCCTTCAGCTGGCTTCAGCAGTGAGCAGGAGCGACGTCTTCACGGGGGAGTGAAGCGGAAGGAGAAGGGTTGCCCACACATACCTTGTGAATGGCAAGTTTCTCAGGAATGCAGCTATTCAGGAAATCACTTGAAGATTTACAGGCCCCAGACCCGGCGCACCAGGGAGGCAAAAGGATTTATAACCCAATGTTTGTGCAAAGCCTCAACAGGAGTCTGAATCAGGGGTTTAGTGCCTGTTATAGTCACATAAAGGACAGTTCTGTTTCCACTGTGAGCCAGCAGCAATTATTCATTGCTCTGATGACAGATGTTTCAGCCCTCAAGTACCATTCTTCTCTCTCCTTGCCTCACCAAGTAGATCTTTTCTAATCCCCCCCCCCCTTCTGCTATCAGCTTCCAATTTCTTTACTGGGAAACCAACCAAAGCTAGTTTGGCCTTTGCTGGTAATCAGAATCTTCTAGCTGTAAACTTTAGGAAGAAGGGGGCATGCTCTGAAAGCACAGTGGAGCTGCAAGAGTCGCATATGTATTTATCACTGCTACGAATGGCGCTACCTCGGCATATTAATTTTTTATATATTAAAAAGTGTCTTAATAGCAGGCATAATTAGGTATTGTCAGAAGCTGGAGGTGTGGTTCTCTTCTTTTTGGAAGCTGTGTTGAGCCTGTTGGAGTCCAGTCTGTACATGTTTCGGGGCGAACGAACTGATGGTTAAAGCAGAAAAAATTATTGATTGAGCATAGGTCTGATCCAGGGATAAGTGTAGACCTGGTGGCATTCCCCACTGAAATGTTGGTTGAGTGTGCTTTCGGCTCTGACACTTCTTCTAGATGCCCAGCAGGATGTGGTAGCCAGGAGGCCATTTCTCACATTTTCTTAGAAAGGAGCAACTGAGCTACAATCATTCGTGCTTCGTGCACTTCCAGACTAGACTACTGCAATGTATTATTGTTTTGACTGCTTTTGAACACTGTCCAGCAATTGCAACTGGCACAGAAAGCGGTAGCTAGGGGTGTGCAAAAAAACAACAGCGGTATTTTTCAGGTTTGGGTATATTGAACCCCCCAAAAATTGTTATTTTCCAATATTCTCGAATCTCAATACCGGTATGGTATTCAGATTTGAGAAATATTTAGGAAACCTGAATTTTTGGGCTCCATTATAACCTATGGTCCCCATAGGGTATAATGGAGAATCGATCCAGGGGTATCTGGGGCTTGGGGGGCTTTTGAAGTAGAGGCAACAAATTTGCAGCATAGCTGCTTGTGCCTCTCCTCACCCCCACCCCCAAGTTTAAAAAAGTTTGGACCACCCTGGCTGATCCTGGGGTGGCTCTTTTTGCAGCTGCAAGAGGAGCCAGCCCTAGGTGAGCTGCGGTGAGTTCACGCAGACTGCGTTTAAAGGGACAGTGAGCCCTTTAAACACCTTCAGAGTTCTCTAAGCTGGAGAAGTTTCACGGCTTGGAGAAGACATTTAAAGGGACTGCAATCCCTTTAAATGCTTTGAAGGTAATTTATCTGGTGGTCCCGAAAATCCTGAATATTTTTTGGGCTTTTCGGGGCTTGGCCATTTTGGATAGACAACCAGTATCCAAAATGACTATCTGGTGGAATCAATACCTGAAACATACCAATAAGATATTTTCCAGGTATTTTTTTCAGCTCAGATTTAATCGAATGCACACCCTTAGTGGTAGCCCAACTGTTAACTGTGGCTAGCCACTTGGAACATATCACACCAGTTTTATGACAGCTTCAACGATTCCCAAGGTGGGTAGCTGTATCAGTCTGTCTGTAGCAGTAGAAACCAATTGGCAGGCAAAGGAAAGGTGTCAGCGGCCATCATGGTGCCCACCATTGTTCCCTCTAAGCTGAGTTAGTGTGAGCTAGCTCACAGTTCTTTAACCTCTGGTGCACACATTTTTTGTCTTAGCCCAGGACGGATGGCTCCAGAGCAAACTAATTTATGCAGTGTCCAAATCGCCTGCTCACAACTTTAATGGCAGTAACTCACAAAGTCACAGGACTCCACAGCTTAGAGGGAGTATTGGTGCCCACAAGCACCACATTGGGGTTTCCTGGTGTAGGGCCTCAGAGGTCAAGAGTAGCCTGCTAAAACTAGACTCAGAAGCAAACTAGCCATTGTTGAAAAGAGCAAGGGTCCAGGAGCACCTTAAAGACTAACAAAATTTGTGGCAGGGCCTGACATTTCATGACTCAGTGCACACTTCTTCATGAGAGCTCCTCCCCTGCCAGATGAAGATTACCAAACAGGCAAAGAAACTATCATTACAAAAGCTTTCAGCAGCTGTAAAGATTGTTC